TTCGGCTACAACTACGACAAGCCCCAGAGCACCAAGGCCAACGACCCCCAGAGCGGATACACCAGGACCATCTACGGTCCTGACGTTCAGGGTATCTACGCTGCTGGTGTCGGCCACACCGTCCCCATTCGGGGTGCGGACGACATGAAGTTCTTCGGCTTTGCTTAGACGCATCGAAAATGAAGAGCTACCATACACTACAGCCAAGCCTCATGGCAGTCACCAACAATTCAATGTACATATTCGTGACTACACACATCACACTGCATTCTCACCGTGTTCACTTTTACACTTTTTTTTTTTCATTGCTGACCTACCATGTTCTACGTTTTTTCTTCTTTTCAGGCACTTTGGTAGCTTCTACGCTGCGGCTCCGGCGATGACGAAACCAGAAACTTAGCCGCTTTGGGGACTTGTCATCGGTATCGTTGAGATTGTCCCAGCTGAACTTACTTTGAAGCTGGGGTGTCGGCTCACATACAGTCTTCTCCTCGAATCCGCTGTCACGTCGGGCAGGAGGCGGTAGCGAAGGCTTGTAAGGCGGCAGGGGCTTAGTATCAGTATACGTACCTGGTTGGTTATGTCGCGATGCGTGAACGTCAGAACGATGCTGATCTTGATCATACATCCTTTCAAACTTCCGCATCTCCTCGTTGAACTCGGCGATATACCTCGCTGGAATGGGCTCTTCATCCGAGTCTTCGTCTTCGTCCGGCCTAGTCCAAGACCGCTGTGGGTCATCAAGCGCCCGCATCCTATCAAATCCCTCATCAGTGAAATCAAAACCCGCCCCTAAAGCCGCACGCGTGGCGAACTTCGCGGCAGATATCTCTGCCCGGCGCTCACGGCTCAAGTTACCTTGCTTTTGGTACGGCGTCTTTGGTATCATGTTTCGGGTCGAGGAGAGAGAGGGTTGTGCGAAATGCGCTTCTAGGCGAGAGCGATGTTGTTGCTTGACTAGGTAGCGGTATTCGTCATTTGGGAGGTAGTCTGGGGGGATGGAGGGGCGGTAGTGGAGTGCGGGGTGGTAGGAGGGAGATAGTGATGAGGGGTAGTATGCTGGTGGGGTGAAGGTGTAGGATAGTGGGGACGCCATTTTTAGGGAGATTGGTTGTGGTGAAGAGGGCGTTTGGTTCTGTTGTTAGTTTTGTCTGGGATGTGTGGTTCAACTTGAGAGACATGTCTATGGGCGAGATTGGGACGTGTTATGTGTGTATATTGCTGGTGTGGCATGACTCGAGTCTCGTTGAGAAAGTACTATGTGGGGTTTGGGTGAATGTTCGGGGAGGGTGGTGGAAGATGGAATGATATTGTACACACTCACGGGAGCATTTTCTGGGGTGGCTTTTTGTTTGATGATCGAAAGCGGCATCCACGTCAATAGGTCATGAACCATATCGAAGTCCCCAGTCTGCTTCTATCGAAGCCTTACGGGGTTCGTCTCTGTCGACGACTAGTATCTGTGAATGAATCAGCCCCATTGTGTTGTACCCGGCTCTCGATGTTTTGGCAGCTGTAGAGATAATGATCTATGTCATTCCTCATTATTTGGTGTTATTCGAGTTTGTACGCAACGCGCATGAGGCTAGCGAAGCACAAGGAAGTCCTGGAGCTTGGGAGCCATGACGTCATCGCCCTTTCCCAACCTCCCCGAGGTCATCAACCAAAGCGGCGCCGAATTTCAGCCTCCAGGTCATATCCTGCGCTTCATACTGCGACTTCGAATTACTTAGCACTAAATATACGCAAAGATGGCTGCCCGCATCCATGAAGGTTCTCGCATCTTGTTATGGGTATGAAATATTCCACGGTGGCGATGAGGGCTAAATTTCGGCTGTATCGGCGATCTGTTGCTTGACAACATCACCTGTGACAAGGTGCGCAATGCTTGTTTGCGCATCATTACTTATTGAGCGGCTTCTACTGCATTAGAAAAGTTCGATCAGAGCACAACGAAATTGAGCATGGCATCCTCAGCAATCAATGGAGATCGAGCGCTAGATCTCACAGAGGCCGTTATCACACTCCAGCAAACGACAAGGAAATTTATCGCAGACACCAGAGCAGGGCGTGAGGGGTTCGTTTTAAGACCCTTCTCTTCCGCTGATGATGAGAACGACACCGGAAACATGCTTATCATAACCTCGCCTGATAAAGAGATCAAGACTCACCTGGAAGCTCTGGAAATGCAACTACGGGTGTTGGAACAACGATTGCGATCGCGAGGAGACTGGCATCCATCAGATCAATTACTCAACATATCACTTCCAACTATTCTCGACATCATCGACCTCTCAAACGCGATCACGCTGCTCGACCAATTGATCACCTCTACAAGTCCCGGTGAACAGACTACCCCACAGCAGACCTTGTCAGCGTATACTTGGACTTGGGATCCTGCCTGGCATGAGTTCTACACCTACATACCCTCTCAGCAAACATACCTCTATCTTTCGCGCTGGAAGTTGAATGAGATCAGGAACGTGTGGGAGCATGTGAGCATGGCTGGTGTAAATCTGATGCCGGATGTCGCGGTAGAAATGCTAGGTGCGTGGGAAGACTGGACCTGGGATTCAACGTGGAAACAGTGGTACCTGGACGTCGCCGAAAACGATACCGAGGAGAAGTGTCAGATTTTCGCAAGCCCATGGCGTGTACAAGGAGATGGTGAATGGGTTTATGTTGGCAGGATAGGCGGCGTACACTAAGAAGAGTCGACGATTTGGTATCAACGCGACACCCCGAACGATACCGAAGTATCCTCAACGACGAACAGGCTGTCAAACACCCAGTCACTTCGGCAGTGTGCGTGAAAGGTGCATGTGAGACCTCAGAATCAGACATCATGTGCCAGACAAAGCGCGCATGTTCTACCCGCACAATGTGGTATCAGTACTATATCCTAGCGTTGGCCCGCCTATTCACCATTCTCAGACGGCGTGAATACATGTTCCAAGAACAGGGACAAAGGACGATGAACGGTCGAGCAAATACACGCGTGGTCACACGGAACGAAACATACCCGACACTCCAACCCACAGCGCAAGAGGACTACTTCTCTTATCACCCCAAGACTAATCCTCGCGGTAGACCGGGCCTCCAACGTCCGCATATTCCAGTTCCACTGCATGTAAGCTACACGAACTGTTCGCCGCTCTCTGCGGGCCCGGCAGGATGGAGGTATACGCCAGTATCCGCGCGTACTCCTGGACTTGAGTCGTTTCGTCACGATCACGGGGTAAAACTCAGGACGCGTCTTTCATTTCGAGCTGTTCTGCTGAATTGCCGCTGGGATTTGTTGTGGGACGAGGATGAGATGCCGGCCAGGGTGATCGGTCGCTGTCAAATGTACCTCGACGAAAAGTACGAGTCTGTTAAAAGGAAACTGGCGAAATGCGGACGTGTTTTGTGTGGGTTCCTAGGTTGGCCTTGGCGGAAGCTATTCTCTCGGCGGTTGGCATTGGAGGAGGTAGATGAGCTTCTTCCGAGTTTCTATCGCGACGATCTTGAGTCTGGGCCTTCGCATGATACAGAAGATGTTCAGGCTTTCCTTGACCATGCAGTTTAGCATACACTGCAGGTGCACATGCAAGTGGACGCGCGCGCTGTATTGTCCTTTACCATTAGCAGGTGCATATAAGGTACATCTTACACAATTGCTCAATCAAATGTAAAGAACGCTGTCAATCCCCCAAATGTTGTTTGATACTCAACGCGCAGTGGCTGGTTCTAACTTCGAAAGCTTGTTGCGAGAGGGACGGAAAGGGGACGCCCAGGGTGCTTTTCGCGGCTATGACGTAAGCTCTCACTAGCGCCTAACAGGACAGCCCCGATGCACGCGTCCCAGCCTCCTTCTATGACCCTCATCTCAGCATCAATATACCATCCTCCTGACCACGTATTTCATCGTCTTCGCGCACGAATCCTCTGCGATCAGGGCGCAATACCGGTAATGAAGATCTCCGACTTATCAGACAGTGGCTCTTTCTCAATATCCATCCCTACTTCCGGGCGTCCGCGAGACGCGTCTGGTCCACAGGAGCAATTCGCAGAGAGTCAGCCATGTCACCATACCCATGATCATGTGTCAAGCATCAATAACTATCAGATGCCTTCGCGCGTGATCAGCAGGCGCCACTGATTTTGGGCAATATTGGATCGAGGCAACTACCGGCATGGTTAATCACCAGAGATTCGCCCTCGATATTGGAAGCCCTCTCACCAGCTGCACCCCACAATGCGCTTTCACGGAAATGTGTCATGCAGGGGCTGGCTCACATGCTGATAAACTGCGAGACGATAGAACCATATCCTTACACTCACATTGGTCTGGCTCTCAACTCATCATACGGCGCCATGTTGACTCTCCTTGCAATCGTACTGTTTGTACCGTCTATGAACGCGCTACTGCACCATCTCGCAGTCGGCACTACAAATGGGCAGGCCTTGTACTCGCTGGAGACGGACGATGAATCCAGGAAAGTGTATACGATTCAGGCCAGAGACGCGGGTGGAGCATCGCCGTCTCTGGCGCTCGACGTACGTGCATCAATCTTCAATAAGGGTCATTCCCGTTGACCTATTCGGTAGCGCTCGAAGCAGCACCTCTTCAGCAGTCGTCCGCAGGATGGAACCCTGACCCGCCACTCGATTGCGCCTACATACGAGCTCATCAGTGAAGGCACCATGGAGATACCCTCATCATGTTGGTTCTCATCATGGCATCTGCATGAAGCTTTCTGACCAATGTAGGCAACACTACGAACTTCCTGTCTCTAAAGCTAGGATCTTCCATGCACAACACTGCTATATGGGGCAGTGCTAGCACAGGAACTTGCAGTATCGTCTTTGGAGTGTCGCCAGACGGTTATGATACTATTAACTCCCAAGAGATCGCCGGAGACGTACACTCTATTGCATGGGCTCCCAACGGGCGTAACTTGCACGCATTGGACTCACACTCTTCCGGAAGTCTCTTGACGTCAATCACGAACTTCCGTATGTCCGAAGACCCGAATTTGCAGGACGTGGTGGGTATTGATGTCCTTGGTAATGTCACAAGCGCTTCACAAATCGTCGCCCATCCCAGCGAAACCTTCATGTACATCGTCACTAAGTACTCAAACGAGCTGATTGTCGTTTCTTTGGCAGGTGACACCCTCGTGAGCAATTCTACTCCTGTCCTGCGATATAGATTGCTTCCTACTTCTTTGGATGCGACACAGTTTCAGTCGTCATCTCTGGCTATTTCTGCGTCTCGAAACACATTGTGGGCACTTTCGCAGTCTCCGCTTCAAGCAGTCATTACGGCCTTTACCCTCAATGTCACAACCGGCGAGGTGGTAGATGTCGCTGCCCGTGCGAGCTGGCAGGGATTTGGCGAAGGCCAGCTCACGGCAGCGCCTTTTGATGATGGCGATGTAGTCGCTATCACAGACTCTCCGACGGCATACATCACTATACTCGGTCTCGATCAATCCACATTGCCAAGCGCCCGCATAGGCGAGGATTTTGGCCTTCACGACTATTTGTATGCCATGCAAGTTGATGAGAGGAAACGCAAAGACATACAAATGGCTGCACCGAAAATCAAGAGCTATGGTCGCGTTTTTGTTGACGATCACGTCAACTTAGGTGACTGTGCGTGGATCGATTGAAAATATCCAAGTTCCTAGCGCATTCAGTACAGGCAATGTCTTGTTCTCAGACAATGAGCCTTTGATAGCCCTGTCTCCACAAAGCCACTACCGGCCATCAGTTTTACACTCGCATCCTTTGTCTGTTACTCGAATTACATCAAGCTCTTCTGAAGTAGCGGCGGTGCGATGCGATTTCCCAGTCTGAACGGACATTACATATCTATACAACCCGTATTCAAGCACTTGAAGACTTTCTTATATGCCGTATGTTCACATAATAGCGTCATAACATCACTAATGCTTGCAGTCCTAAGCGCCGCCGCGAAGCCGAGACTGTAGCTACTCGCCGAGTACGCGCCAGAAGAGCAGCGGCTGCCGCAGCAGCTACCGTAGTGAACGCCACCAATCCGCTTCTTAGATTTCCGGGAGGTTAGTAAGATGTCTTCTACAACGCGCACGAGTGCTAACATCATGCAGAGATTAGGAACAGGATCTATCAGGCTCTCTTCGATCAATTTGTAGTGACTCATCGACCATATATGATCACGCGTAGGGGAGTAGATCCACATGGTCCCCCAACTGCTCAAATACGCAATAGCCCACGTCCACTGGTCATGAGCGCGCCCAACGGCTTCAATGTCATTCCCTGGGCAGACACTGATCCATTGCGACGCGTCAACGCAGCCACTCAAGCTGCGATACATGATGGATACTGTGCTATGAAGACAGACTTACTGGCTGTTGGGCAGATATCACGTCAGTTCATGCGTGGTAAGTCTGGTACTCGTTAATGTACGTGGATATATACTGACTTGTTATCGCAACGTTCACAGAGTACCGATCCTTCCAGCGCGCTCGCCTGCAGCCTTTTGTGACTCTTGATGAGTTCTGGAACTTTGTCAAAATATTCTACCCAAGCGAAGACCCAGCAATTGCTTTCGACTATCAAGGTCCACGCATTACGCTTGCTTTACCACGCCATTCATACCAGATGTGTGACATAATGCCAGTTTTGCGATTCTTCAACCGCGCATCGTCCCTGCAATGCAATATTTGGGGTGCTTACAAAGATGACGGGGACTGGTACAAGGTCCTTGCGCAGCCTCTTCGTCAGTATATCTTTGCACCGCGGGGAGGTGCCCTTACGATCTCGAAATTAATGTTTCGTCCGTACGGGAGGCGAAGAGTCTATGAGGGAAATCTTGATAACTACCATGATCTATGGTATTGCGCAGCTTTTAAAGTGGTCTTCGATCCCGTGTCAAGACGAGACTGGATGGACGGAAAGTTGATAAGCTTCCCCGCCCAGCCGCAACGAGCTCTCACGCGGATGAACAAAGAAAGAGCAAGGAGGCAAGATATTCTACAGTTCCTCAAGGCCGCTGGCTTGAACAATGAAGAGATCATGGCAAGATGGGACATGCGATTCACTGTACTGGAATAGCGCCAGTCATAGGCCTCGTGGCAACGCCCGTGGACATATTCACTTGCTGAATATTGGATAGTCACTCATACAACAGCCACTCTGACCTGAGCCCGGGTTATCCCGACTCATTACTAGGGGACAAGCAGTGAATAGTATGCAGCTATGGGCGTGATGGTCCGCATCTGGGCAGATATTTCACTACATGTATCCTCAAACACAGGCCATTGCTGCCTGATATGAGGGTAGTTGAATTCATTGTGACCACCTCGGCCTCATCAAAGCAGCCTTATTCCCCTACTTTCCGATCCATCTGACTATCGCACACCGAACGTTGAAACGACACCCGCGATACTCAACTCATCCATCGCGCTTAGAAGAATACGAACTCGAAGAATTCCGCTATGGTGTAAGTACAATAGCGCCTGAATTCATCGAACCAACGACTGACGGCATTGATAGCAAACGCAAGCGCCCCATTGGGCTCGCTGATACCTATATCAAGCGATCCCGCCGCACGGCGAAAGCAAAGAGGTCTGCCACGCCCACCGCGCTGGGACAGCCAATTGCGGGCAGTATCACCGAAGCAGCCAAGAGCAATGAGAGCAACAGGTTGCTGTCTCTTCCAGCAGGTAGGTCATAATATCCAAGCGCATTGTAACATACGAATCTAATAAGGTTGTAGAAATACGAAACACTATCTACAAAACTGTCACTGGGGATTTGCAGACAGAGTACGAAGCTTATAAGTGCAGCGAGATTGCCCCTCTGTTTGATCAACATACACAAGACCCAGATCGGATGGTTCGCCTCAATCTTTACCCGCCCCTGCCAAATGAAGCAGAATACGCACACTTTCGATGCTTGAAGAAGGATTGGCTCGCACTAGGCCAAACATGCCGCCAACTTCATGGGGAATTTCGCTCGCTGCAAAACAGTCTCACTCATGTTTACATTTCCGTACGATTTCTCAAAGGGTACCTTGAGACTTTCCATCACGTCCCCGACAGGACGATCCCCGACCAAAAGATCCCCACCCGACCCGCTCGTCCTCCTGCGAAGATGACGGTATTCTTCGACAAGTTTGACAAGAAGGAACAGCGTCCCTTCGATGTTCTGCCCCTTATGCGGCTGATGCATGGCTATCCCTCACTTCGATGCGACGTTTGGACATTCAATGCTGGGCGCGATAATCACTCCCCTCAACCTCACGGCGTCGAAGATCGAGACATCCATGATGCAATGTTTGCAACTCAAAACTCACTTTGGGCGCATCCTGATCCGAAATTCCTTCCAAGCCTCAATCGCATATCTTTCTCTCCTCACGGTACACTAAATATTAGTGTTCAAGACAAAGCTCTCAAGGACTGGATGAAAACTAGCAAGATGAGGCAATGGACTGGTGCTGACTGGAAACGTAAGCGTGGTAAGGGGATAGATAAGGGCGGTACGTGGCTGAAAGACAGGCAAGAGCACACGCGGAAGTACCTGGAAGCATCTGGAATGAATGTCGAGCTGTTGAAGGGGTGGAAAGTGACCGTGGGTGAAGGGGCAGGTTAGCTATATAGAGCATATCCAGCCGTTGAAGCTCATGTACGGAGTGATTGCACCTTACACAAGATAAAAACTAAACAGCTCTGCAGGCTACATTAAGCTAAAACCTTACAAAGTAGGTAACCTAACGTTAATGCAGGCTCTAGGCTATTTAGTTTATTCCTAGGTTGGCGTGACTGTTAGTTTTAGAGTATAGCTTATTATCAACGTCTTTTCTTTCCAATTCTACAACCGACACAAATTACAATCATCCATGGGCATGTAGAAGTGTTTGCGCAATCATGATATTATCGTTCTTTCATATTAATCAGATCTCTTAAGATCTCAGTCCCAATCCAGATCCCAAAACGCCTAGCTACCGAGCCAAATCCCAGTGGTATATGCGCATCCCAAAAAGTCACTTTTGTTTTCCTTTTTCCGTTTCCCAAGTATTACATCCCCACATCTTCCCCGTGTTTAGCAAGCGAGGCGTCTAGTGGATGCCGTAGGTCTGCTCGTAAGCGTTGCTAACGCTCTTGTGGTGCTCAACAACCTTGTTCTTGAGAGCCCTCCATGCCTTCTGGTAGTTCCTTGGGCCGAGCTCAGCAGCCATCTCCTTCTCTCCAGTAGCAGCGCTCTTGCGGGGTGCTTCGCTGCTCTGCCTGGGGCTGGAAGCGAGGGATGAGCTGCGAGATGCGGAGGGAGAGTTTCCAGGGCTGTAGTAGACGGCGAAAGCGGAGTTCATCTCGCGGTGGTGCTGCTTGATGGCCTTCCATGCCTTGGCGGCGTTGGTGGGGTTGCGCTGAGTGGAGGAAGGGCCCGCCATGGAGGAGTTGCGGGAGGTTTGTGTGGAGGCTGATGGGGTGGTTGCGGAGGAGCCGGTGTAGTAGGTGTTGTAGGCAGCGTTGACGCTCTCGTGGTGGGCCTTTGCGTGTGCCGCGACGGAGGAGAGGAAGTTGGTCATTTTGGTGGTGGTTGTTTGTGTTGTGGTGATGATCGATGTGAAGTAGATGTTCGAGAGTCGATCGAAGAACTGATAGTAGTAGTTGCTTTGCTTGGAGGCTGTGGTATGCTTTGCTGTGTTGATGCCTCCATCCTCACGTACCCACCCATCCCTTTATACTCCCCCAGCCCATCCCCAGAAACTTCTCTATGACACCCGCCAAGCATCACCGGTCACGCCCTGGGACCAAACCTTTGCCAAAATTTTACTCAGCACACTCTGCGCACGCCCTGCACATGTCGACGAAACGATCGTGAGATTTGAGGCCATGCGGCCGTCTGATTGGCTACGGGCTGACAAACCCACTGAATTCTTGTCAACGAACACCTTCACAGGGCGTGAGAGGGTCCGTGCCATCATCATCATGACAATGAGGTGCCCACGCCCTACCCTGGTGCGTCTTTTCCGATGGCGCGCCGGAGCGTTTCCCGTCGGCGGCTAATTTTGGCAAGGCGCATGTGTGTGTAAAGGCGCGGTGACGAGTTTTCGGTCGTGTCCGTTAGCTGCTAGAAGACTGCCTTTGGAGGTATGGCGGGGAAAATCTCTGTTATTGGCTGCCACGCTTCGTCGCACCACGGCGTGTACCTGATCCACGCAGGCCCTTTCCCGCCCCCAAGTTGCCCGTCGGATGCCAAGTTTGCTTCGGTCCTTTTAGTCTAGACGCTGCTGTTGCACTGGGAGTGGATGTTTGTACGTAAAGACCGTGTTTTACCTTGAGCGCATGTCCGTTAACTGTTAGAGAAATGCCTTTGGAGGTTTGGCGACGAGAATTTTTTGTTCGGTGAGCGCTGGGGCGCGTGACGACGGTGTGGATAGGGGGTGTGGTGTGACAGCAAGTGAGTGATTTTTTTCGCAAGCTCACGATCGTGCTGCCAGATCTTTCTCGATGCCACGAAGGGGTCATCTGACGACTATCGTGACTCCGAGTTTCGCGGTGTGCCAACCCTACAGCGCCGCCCGCCAGCGTCTACCACTCAGCTCTTTCGTCATCAGCATGGAGCCATCGCAATCGCCAGCCTGAAGAATAGACACATTTGTTCACAAGAATGGCCAAGATCT